TTTTCAGTTGTTTAACCGCAATTACGCTCGGTGGCACCCGGCCGATAGAACAAAAAAGGCCGCTTTATGGGGCAGCAGACTTGGGGCTATTTATACGAGGCGCGACCGCGACAGTTTTCCGCGAATAGGGTGAACGAGCATCACCCAACGACTTCCGCATCGTCGGACGCAGATTTCCACGTCTACGGGCACAATAGTGGCTGGACGCACAAAACCGATACCAGCTTTCGCAATTGTTTATATAAAACAACCCTAAATAACCGGCACGTTTTCCGGTTATAGAAAAGTAGGTTAACCTCCTATCGATCGTCCCAAACCCTGAAAACGTGCAGTGCCGATACCGTCCCCACTCCGCCCCCTGAACCGTCAAAAATTTTTTGTGTTTCATTAATTTTTAGATTTTAGACATTTGATAAAGACACGGTGTTGTCGAAACAATTGTCATGTCAAAATATATAATTTCGTGAAAATCTGAACTTTTAGTTCTTATTTATTTTGATAAATGGATTTTCATCAAGTAAAAGCCACCTCAGTTCAACTCTCCGTTATAATTCTAACTGGCCGTATGAAGCTTGAAAGGTTAAAACCAAACCCATTTTTTGTCTGTTTACCATCGAAATCGTAATGTATTATAGAGAGTGGGGGGAAAATTACCGGCGTTCATTCCAGATATAATAGGAAATAGAAACAGAAAAATCTTAAAATCTTCGGGGGAATAAAATTATTCCCTTTTTCAAGAATGGCTTACACAACACAACCAGAAAGGGCCAAAGGAGAGATTAAACATGTATGGTGTGGAAATAGAGACATAAATTGATGTGACAGCAGTGAACTAACTAGTGATAGATAAGGAAAATAAACAAATCCAGTTTAAGAACTTGTTTTATTGTTAGCTTACAAACTAGCTAACAAGCAAAACGTAATTTTTTTAAGTTCGGAACAGTCCATAGAAAGAAAATGTTAGTTAGATGTCCTTGTCGAAAAATAAAAATTAATATCTAGTGGAAACCATAAACTAATATTACGCTGACGTCACAACCAATGACAACATGTTTAGCGCAGTCGAACCGTTAAACAATTTTTTTTTCCGTTTCTTTCGCTAAAACTGAAGCATGTTTCAATTTTAATAATTTTATGAACGCCTCCACTATTCATCAATAATAATAACAACCTTACACCTACAATGCTTTGAAATGGAAAAAAAAATCAATAAAAAATGTATAAATTTCTATAAAAGGCGTCGTCTCCTCCCCCCTCTTAAGGGCGTGGCTCCGGCGGTGCTGATTTCCCTCGATCGTTGAATTAAAAGCGGCTTACGAAAAGTACCTTTTAAGGTGTCGGAACTATTTCCAAGCGAGCAACATTGCCGAACCATCTGGGCTGCGTGGTCACCACGTGCCAGGCAAATCACGGCGAGAAGAATTTATGATAGCACACGGATTCCCAGTTTCCAAGCCGTTTTTGTAAAAGCTGGCAACGCTGTCTTATGGAATCTGCGTTTTTTTCTTCCTTGGCTGCGTATACCGGAAATAAAGGTCAGGGACACAATCTCCCTTCGATGGTCTTGTTTTTCCACCTAGCAGATAAGTGTCGGTGCCCACGTTACGTAGTCATATTGAGATAATTGAACAGGGCTCGATAAAAATTACTGACGGCTTATTACGACGGACAAGTAAAGGAATGGGAAATATAAGTTTATATCGAGAAACGAAAGAACTACTAAAAAGCATGTTTTATAGACCGCAGGACACCTGCGGACCATTTCCTTATAATTGCCTGCCATTTTCGTTGTTTATGTACCACGCTTGAACTTGGACCACGCGATAATTAAAACAAAACGTCCGGGCCTCAATTGATTAAATTAAACTAATTGGGTAGATACTCTGGTTAATAAATCCGCCATTTATCTTCCACGTATACCTACTTATCTAAGACATCTGAATGTTTTCCAGAACTGTTCGCCCATATGTAAAGGTCCAATTAACAACCGACCGAAACGTTTTCAATTAATTTAATAATATTTAATGTGGCCCCATTAACTACTACCGACACCGTTAAGTGCCAGAAAAAAACAGATCGATAATCTCTGGCCGTAAACAATCTCGTCATCGTAGTTTCGAATCAATCGTTAATTATTACGACCTGGTTAGAAACCATATAAACGTAATGTTTCTCGTAAAAGAATCCCACTTTTGCAAAATTAAAGAAACAAACCGCAGAGCATATTGAGGAAAAACCTATGCTTTTAAATACGCTGACTTTGCAGAATGCCCAGATATTTTCCTTTATCAAATGCCCAATCTGCGAAACAAATTTTCCATGGCCAGCATCCATTCATCACTTCCTCCGCCGGTTTCCGCCCCCGTAAACTTCATTATTTTCCGAAAATATATCAATCACATTCCCACACATAAGGGGCGTATTGATTTTGCCCTCGCTCCCCCGATCAAAACACTATCCAGGGAAAACGCGTTGTTTATAATTCGACCGCACACCTATTCCAAAGGTAACGTGAATAAAACGCTTCGCAATATCCGCATTCTTGTCACAGAAAAGTAAATGCGAGATAAGTAAACGTTAACAAACGCGTCGCACCACGCCGTTGCGTCGTAAATGCGAACGTAAACAAAACCGATTTTCCCGAGACTGGCGTTCGTCGGGTCGTGTTTTCGATTTGACAGCAAAAACTGCCGCTTCCCCGTTCCCGGATAGTTTACGGAATTCTACATCACACCGCGACCGACCGAAAACAATAATCCTTGAACCGATCGGCGTCATGAATTAAGCAATAAAATAGCTGAAAACCCTGAAACGGACGGTCGGACACCGCCATTTTGGTAGATTATACTCGACACACGCACGCACAGTCGTTTTACAAGCGCCTACCTGCGACAGGGCCGACGAAAAATCCTACTGTAAACGCAAAGCAGAGTTGAAATGTCCGAACAGCCATAGATACGTAATCATTGGTAACTTCGATGCGAGTTTTATACACCGTCGGATTAAAAACAAACACTCGCGGTTTTCTTCGAAACGCACGCCGATGTACCGCTGCCGATGCGAAATATACACTGGGGGAAAGGAAACGAGAAACAAATAAGTGTTTTAGAGGCCTGACCATTCAGGGTTTAGCATAGATCGCGCGCATGTGTATTCATCTAGACCTGAATTTGGTTACTTCGATTAGTAGCCTAAGGAATATTATTGCTCGGTTCCGATGGAACGGAAAAAGGACGACTTTATGGCGAATGGGAATTTAAAAACGATCGCGGCTCACTTGAGCGGTCGAATCGATTGCGGTGGTGTGCGCTTCCCGTTTTACGAAAACTTCCGGTTCCTGTGTGTGCGATCCTTGGAATTTTGTGCGCGACATTTTATGAATGAATTACGGACGAAGAACGCGCTTGTCCGTTTCATGTTATTGTTAGTAATTTAGCATATTTGCAGTAACTGCCGACCAAACGCACGAAGAAAAAGTCAATTAGAAAATTTATTTATTTTTTTAGGTTTACAAATTCGGCGCCTCCATGTATTTCGGTACGATACGGCGTTATCTATTAGTTAATGACATTTATTGCCTAAAAGTTGGACCTTGTTTTAATTTGTGGATCAACTTCTCCTTTCAATCTCCAACTTTCAATAAAGTTTTTGAAAACAACTAGCTGCGAGGAAACGAGCAATGGGTTTCGTAAATATTTATATAGGTTGGCATCACCGATACTGATCCAATCGGTCTGAAACTTCACTAGAAAGGGAAAAACTGGCTACGACGAAATCGCGTGAGCAGTTTTGTAATGCGAAGCCGAAAACGTAACCACTGACGTCATAAGGCAGTAGATAAATACGTCATTAAAAGCTTTGTTAATATTACAGAACTAATCACATAAATTCGACATTACGAGCTGTGTTAAGATTTCAAATCTAACCACTGACGTCATAATACAATACGACATTACAAGCTGTTTTAAAATTTCAAAACTTACCAAAACTGATCACTGACATCATAAGACAGTAGACAACTACGACATTAAAAGCTGTGTTAAGATTTCAATACTCACCAAAATTGACCACTGACGTCATAAGACAGCAGATAAATACGACATTAAAAGTTGTTTGAAATTTTCAAAATTAACCAAAACTGACCACTGACGTCATAAGACAGTAGATAAATAATACATTACGAACTGTGTTAAGATTTTAAAATTAACCATAACTGAGCACTGACGTCATAGATAAATACGACATTGAAATCTGTGTTAAAATTACAACACTAATCACTAACGTTATAAGACAGTAGATAAATTCGACATTACGAGCTGTGTTAAGATCTCAAATCTAACCACTGACGTCATAATACGGTACGACATTAAAAGCTGTTTTAAAATTCAAAACTAACCAAAATTGATCCCTGACGTCATAAGACAGTTGACAAATACGACATTAAAAGCTGTGTTTAGATTTCAAAACTCACCAAAATTGACCACTGACGTTATGAGACAGTACAGTGCACAGACATTACGAAATGTGTTAAGATTTTAAAATTAAACATAACTGAGCACTGACGTCATAGATAAATACGACATTGAACACTGTGTTAAAATTACAACACTAATTACTGACGTCATAAGACAGTAGATAAATTCGACATTACGAGCTGTGTTAAGATTTCAAATCTAACCACTGACGTCATAATACGGTACGACATTAAAGCTGTTTTAAAATTTCAAAACTAACCAAAACCGATCACTGACGTCATAAGACATTAGACAAATACATTAAAAGCTGTGTGAAGATTTCAAAACTCACCAAAATTGACCACTGACGTCATAAAACAGCAGATAAACACGAACTTACGAGTTGCGTCAAGATTTCAAAACTAACCATAACTGACGTCATAAGACAATAGATTACATTATAAGCTGTGTTAAGATTTAGTTCACATAACGATGAACGAAAAAATCCGAGTGAATAAGGAGACCATTTCAAATAAGAATGTTTAATTATAACTTCAAATTACAAACCGAAACATTGAATTAAACCGCCTTTAATATGGACCGGTTATTACTTAATGATGCCTTTTCCGCGAATTATGGTTGCGTTCCTTGGACGAGTCGGAACTGGAACTGCTGCTACTGCTACTCTTCCGCCTGGATTTTCCCTTGGACCGCGACCTAGACCTTCCCTTCCTTCCCCCGACTTTCGGTTTCCTGCAATCAAGATAATCGACCTGCTGCGTTTCACCTCCCTCCAGTTTACCTCTTGGATTTGCGTACGTCGCCGTCGCCGCCGCTGCTGCTGCTGCTCGACGACGACGAGCTGCTCTCCCGCTTCCTCCTCTTCGAGTGCACCTTCTCGTCGAGCTGCTGCAACACCTTCATCGTTTTCAGCAACTTCTCCTTTTCGATCGCTTCCCGCTTCGCTTTCTTCGCCCGCTCCAGCATTTCCTGCTCCTCCTTTGACTTCCTCTGTTTCTCCTCCAGCAACCGCTGCTCCTCCTCCTTCTTCTTTTTCAACTCCAACAACTCCATCTTCTTCCTCAGTATCAGGAGCTTCCTGTATTTCTCCTCCGCCTCGTTCTCGTCGCTCTTTTTCGTCTCCTCCCGTTTCGGGGATCGCGACCTCGACCTCCTCGCCTTCCGCCTGTCATCTGAAGAGCTCACCTTCCGGTGCCGGTCCCTCGACCGGGACCGGTGGTGCCTCTCTGACCTGTTTTCACGATCGCGTCGCTCGGGGTCCCTTTTGACGATTTGTACGCGGCTACGGGTAGTTTCCGAACGGTGCCGGTCCTCCCGCTGGTACCGTCCGTTCGTCTGGAACGGTTCCCTGCCGCCCGTCGGCTTCTCGATTGCAAACTTGTTTCTGCCCCTCCTTTCGTTATCCCTCACTTCACGTACCTTGCTCTGCACCACATTCCGGGGCACCTCGTGCTCGATCGCAGCGGAACCCGCCGTCACCGCTGCCGCCCCCCTCGTCGCGATCGCGTTGTCGAACTGCGCGAAGTTGTTGTTGTTGTTAAAGTTCTTTTGCTTGTTCGCGTAGCCGCTAAACGTTATCTCTCCGGTGGGCGGGTCTTCGCCCGTTTTCACCTCCACCCCAAGGGCGAGCGCCAGCTTCTCCGATCTCTCGTTGAGCACCAGCACCTCCTGACCCTTAGGGTCCCGGGGCGGCGAAACACGCTTCACTGGCGGCTTGTCCGGCCCTGGTGAGATTAATAAGTCTCTTTGATTTTTTTCTTTTTTTAAATACGAAATAAAACAATAATAATGATAACATCAGTAAACATAATGATAAATCCCATCAGTAAATTAAATATACCGAAAACTTATATGATCGCTCTTAAAATCTTCTGTATGACTGCAACAGTGGGAACAAAATTGCTTTCGAAAAATCGTCGGTGGGCGGGGCAAGTTCGTAGCTTTGTTTTTCTATGGTGCTACTGCGGACCACTATGGAACTTTCGTAAAATCGATGGAATTTTAGTATGCGTACAACCTGTATAAAGCATCTTTTAAGTCTCGCCGAACTTTAAAGTGACGGCAAACATTGATAAATGTTGTAATTTGTACAAGTAACAGGTATTTGTAATGTTTTTAATATCTCGCGCACCCTGTATGATAGACGAAACCTGGAACTCTTTCGATGCAGTTTGCGATACTGTTTAAAGCAATTTTTTTTTATAGCTTTTTATTAATGGCTAATAATATACCCGCGAAAACGGCAATTTTGCAGGGTCTTTGATTGTTTATCCATAATCGACACACCCTGTACATAATTGAAAAAATGCCCCAAATGGAGGTTTTAGCCCTGGTCCAACAATTTTTTCAATGGAGTAAATGGTTTTCGAGAAAATAATTTCTTACTGAAACCATGCAATGACGTCATCGCGTCTAACTTGGGCGCGAGAATCAGCGTATGTGATAGACGAAAACCGCAAATACAAAAATTGTGGCTCTTCATGCGGTCTATAACCCTCTTTGAACCGATTGACCATATTGTTTACGAATTATGATTTGCGGTTAATAATTTATTCCCAAAAAATACAATTTTCACTGTCTTTTAGATTTTTGTCCACAATCGAAAAACCCTGTATATAATCGAAAAAATGCCTAAAATAAAAGTCATAACCCCGGATCTCCTGCATTTTCTGGCTCTAAAATTTTGCCGATCGTTTCAATAGTTTTCGAGAAAATCGTGATTTTCTGGAAGACAAAATAATCAAAGAAAATTTTTCAAAATTTTCTAAAAACTATTTGGTAACACTTCATTACGCTCTGTTTCGATGTGCGTACGAACTTTTACTTCCTTGCAAATTTGAAGTCGATGACTATATATTTGAGACACCTATGATGTTTTAGAATGTAGAACAGAAAATTCCGAACACCCTGTACAATATGTGAAAACCTTAAATAAAAAAGTATTAGCCGGTCATACTGGCTACATAGAAATGTGAAAGAGACTGACAACAGAATCACAGCCTTCTAGTTACGGTCTATTATCAATATAAAGGGAGCTCAATTTTCAGTTTTTTGCAAATTACCGACGCACCCTGTACATTTTTAAAAAATCATCAAGAATAAAAGTTTTTGGTTCGGATCTTGCGCGTCGTTTGGTTAAAGAATTTTTTCGATCGCACATACCGTTTTGAAGAAGTGATTTTTTTCTCGACACCCTTCAAGTTCAGTTTTTAAATTTTTAAAAATACTTCCCGACCCCCCAGCCCCGCTAGTTTCGACAGGTTTCGTTATGGAGCTAAGCTCTATACATCTGTCAAATTTTAAGTGGATGGCTTCAAATTTCAATTCCAAAATTCAATTTCAATGTCCAAAAAACAGTCGAAAATCTAAAAAAAAAAGGTGGACGCCGTGGTTTCGGCGGACCCATTTTTGCTGGTTTGTGTAGCGCATGCACGGCTTAAAAAGGGCCAAATTTGAAGGCCGTGGTATAAACCGTTCGAAAGATATAGCCAATTAATGCCAGGTCTACAGAGAAACGGAGAACAGAAAAAAAATTTTTTTTTTCGACGCTGATCATTTCTGCACCAATGGCGATCCGGTAGGACCTACTACTTACCTCAACCGTTTATAAATTTCAGTTAATAGTTTTTTTTAATGTTGCTTAATCTGATAAGGTTCTACCCGGTTAAACCTCAAAATAAAAAAATTACAGGTAATTACTAGGTCGACAATTTTCTTTTTGATTTGCGTAAACACCAATAAACAATCATTGTTATTATTAAACCCCTTGTCAAAGCAGTTGACATTTGACAGTTGACATTTAGGAATAAAATTCAAAGATTCGGAAATTTCCAATTCGTTCCTGTTCAAAGGACATTGAGGAATAATGATAGAAAAAAAAAAAAAAAAAAAACTCACCCTTGAACTCTTTGTAGGCGCCCGGCAGAGGATACTGAACGAGACTGGGGACCTGCTTCCTGGGCAAGTCCTCCTCCTCATAATCCAAGGCGTTATAATCCATCTCCCGCTGCTTGTTGTCCGTCTTCCTGGGTGGCGAACTCGGCGGGGTGCTCGTTATATTGTATTTCCGCCTTTCCTTGGGCATCTGCTGCGACGCCTGGATCGCCTCATGCATCTTCCTCCTCTCCTCCCGCTTGCGGCGCTCCTCCTCCAACTTCTCCAGCTCCGAGAGCTTGATAACTCGGGACTCCTCCTTTTTCCAGTGGATGGGCGTGGTGCTGCGTGACCGACTCCTCGACGGCGTTCTAAATCTCTAAGAAACAACCCCCCACCACCGCCACGTGTTGACACTTCCCATCAGACGGAAACCGCTGGAACTACTTACGAATTTCCCCCTTCCTTTGATGACCCTCCCGCTTTTGGTAGTGATTACGCGGCGCGGTCGCCGATTATAATTGTTGCGGTTGCTGTAGTCGTCCCTCCCGCCCCTCCGGAACTTGTCGGGCCTTCTATCACCCTCTTTGTCCTTGTCCGGTCCGCCCCTCAACAGGAACTTATTGGACGGCACCTCTGGAATTTCGTCTGGATTGATGTCGGACACCGTCACCAACCAGTGAGGCTCCTTGGCTTCGCCATCTTCGTCCGCGTCCGTTGCCTCGCCCTCCTCCTTCCTGAGAAAGAATCGCGGACAATCCCGGCAGCCTGGACACCCGTGCCTCACAATACTTACTCTTTTTTCGGTTTCTTCTCTTTCTTCGGCTTCTTGTCCTTTTTCTTCTTCCTTTTCTCCTCGCCGTCGGAGCGGTCGGAATCGTCGGCCCCCTCGCCCTCGCGGGCTTCGGATTTCTTCTTCTTGGCTGCAAATACAGAAAAATGAAATTAAATAGTAAATATAGACCTCAAAATTTGCAAGTTTAATAACTAAAAGTCGATAATAAAAAAAAAACAAATGCTGGATATTTTTGGCAGTTTTTTTGGCCTTATCTTTTTTAAAAAATGTACAGTCACCAAAAAATGTGTCGTGTATACCTTTCACTTGCCTAACCAATTCACCGCACTTGATGATTTTGGCATCCTGCAGTGGCCTACTATTTGCATCTACTGGCAGCGACTCGATTTGCCTAACAACGTCCACCCCAGCTACGACTCTTCCAAATACCACATGTACACTAAACCAATAAAGCAATTAGGGGGCTCCCGACTGGAAGTGGCAAAGTTAACTTACTTGTCGAGGTGTGGGGCCGGTTGCGTTGTACTATAACATAACAATGCAAAGTATATGATCAGCATTGGCTTACATACCAGCCTTATATAGACTACACGATTCAAAAGGTATATCTAAAAATTTGTTTTTTACATACGATAGACATGAGGCTGAAAATGAAAGATTTTAAATTACGTCAACAGCTATTGCATGATCACCTAAATTTAAAATAAAAGTACTGCAATCATGTTAATATTACAGTCGGTGTGTCTAAGAACAGTGCAACTTACATAAAGAATTGGGAACCGTTGGTATTTGTTCCTTTGTTAGCCATAGAGAGCAACAAAGGCTTGTCATGAATAAGTGTGAAATTTTCATCTAAAAAGAAGCAAAACTAGATAACATGCCAAAAATATAAGGCGAAAAGGTACCTTCGAATGTGCCTCCATAAATGCTCTCACCTCCAGTACCATTTCCATTAGAAAAATCGCCCCCTTGTATAATAAAATCTTTTACAACCCTATGGAATATTACGTCCTGTAAAAAAAAACGATTAGGTCTCAAATCAATTTCAAGCAGAATAGTTGGGGCACACCTTATAATGCAGCGATTTACCAGTTTCTTGACCCAAACCCTTTTCCCCTGTACACAACGCTCTAAAATTTTCGCAGGTTTTGGGAACCACATCGGTAAAAAGTTCGAAAACCACCCTTCCCGACGGAAGCCCACCAATCGATACATCGAAAAAACACCGGGACCTTTGCACCTTCTCCGTCATCGTTCAAATCTCAAGACGTATGCAAGACTAAGAAATACGTTTTAAAATGCAATGCGGTCGGAATAACTTCTAAAACATTTTTTAAAATTCCATTTAACCAATTAAAGATGCACACATAGATATAAAATGGCAGCCATGAAAGCACAGATCACAAAGATGAAGCCAAATAATGATTTCACACGGAACACATACGCCGAAAATTAAAATAACCTAGGTAATAAATAATGCAATTCTTTATTAAAACAACTTCATGAAAAAAGTTTTTATGATGAATTTCAAGTAACATTACCTACCAAAATTTTCAATCCGACTCTTATCATGTAAATTGTTAGAACATTACAAAATTATAAATGTGGCTGTGCAATTCTAAATGAAATATTTATACATTCTATTTATTAAGCAAGTAGAGTATATTGTACTTTGATTTCTTCAGACTACAGTAACTGCCTTAAAACAGAACAAAAAAACTAAATCACATTTTTAACTTAAATAAAAGGGAAAAATACAAAAAAATATATTTAATAAAATTTGCTAAAAACTAAATAACACAGTTTAAATTACTTTTTAGTAGGTTCATTACTTTCTGTTGAAAAGGAATCAATAAACTTTTTAAGGTCTTCATTTGATGTAAGCGTTTCTAAACCTTTCCTAGTATATTCTTTTGTATATTCCGGCAAATTTATTAAGAACACAAACGAGGCGTGAACTCCTTTGTTCCAGCATTGTTTCAGAAGTAGTGTAGCTGAATCGGCTTTAGGCACTTGGGGCAACTTAAAAAATGGTTATTAACAAATGAGAATGGATTCCTCTCCACAATTTACTTCAATTGGTACCCGCGATGTTATCTGTTTTACATAAGGGCAGAGTTCCGATTTAATTTTGTTGTAGGCCTTCAATGATTCATCGCTATCTCTCCAAATACCTTGTTGTTTCGTATAATAAACAGCTGACGCAGCTAAACCGACTTTTACTGCAAATCTAAAAAAAAAATATTTGTCCAGTTATATTGGCCTTACACACTAATTACAATTTGAAAAAAGATGCTTTCCAAAAGGGTGTCAAAAACATCTGTAGCATTAAATCGGTATAAAATAATAAATAAATTTAAAATTCATTGACAAATGTCATATTCCAACAAACGCAAAAAACTTACTTGATCATATTTTTCTATATTTAATTTCGCAAAAACGACAAAAAATTAATGAATACTATTATGTCATAAGTATAACCTACAAAATATTAAGATGGTGTAGGTTTGGTTGCATACGTAAAGATTTAATTCGCGAGCAGTTTTTCTTTAAAACAAAGCTGTAATTGAATTTTGATTTAATTATAGTACTATAACATTCGGCATAATATGTCCAAAAGTAAAACATTATTGGGTTTTGAAGACGAATTTGTAACTGACACCTACAAAGCTCTTTTGAACCATACCACTAATAAAATCGGAGGAAAGCCAGTGAGTAACATAACCTTAAATACATTTTTTTAAGACGGAATTTATTTTTTAATACTCATAAGCTTTGAAAATCTGCAAGAATGCTTATAGTTTACAAATAAAACAAAAAAACTCGAAAAATATTTAAAAAATTATTTGGAGGAGCTGGGATTTGAACCCAGGACTTTCCGCATGCGAAGCGGACACTCTACCACTGAGTTACACCCCCTGTGCGAAATATTTTGTCTTACGACAATACTTCAAACAACTTCGGCTGGATATATTTTCAGGATTTTCCTAATGTGAATATTGATAACCCAAATTGTGAATTATGCCGATTGCCTCTGCTACTGGTATGCCAAATTTACGCCCCACTGGATGTTACTTATGACAGGACATTATATTTGTTTGGATGTATTAACGCCAAGTGTTGGAATTCTGGTCACAGGTGATTATTTTCTCGAAATATTCAAAGCCATGTCTACATTTTTAATGCATCGAGCGTTTGACAATATTAGAAATAATATTAATGAAATTAATTTTTCATGCAATAGCAAAAGGTTCGGCATACATTTTTTTTAGTTGGACGTGTCTGCGGGTTCAAGTAAAAAAAACGGATAATGCAGTCGATGACGTCACATGTTCATCAACAAAATCGTTTATTGCGGACTGGTGTGCAGACGCCGATAATTGGGGCGAAGACAACATTGATGATAATTTTGGTCCCGGAATTAGTTCTAGCACTGTTATGCAAGATCCGTTTGTTATTGGAATCGCAAATTTGTCTGTCGGTGATCCACAGGGTAGGTAAACTAGCTTATCGTCATCAAGTTGCACAATCAAATATTGTGGATGGAAAGTATTTGTGGTGGTCTAGGGGTTTAGGATTATATTTCCCCTCATATCTGCGGAGTTAAAGCCTATCATATATAATTTTTAGGACATAGTACATAAAGCAAGGCAGTATTCACCAGAAAGAAATGTTTGGTTTGTTTCTCTACCATTGAATACGTCGTCCCTCTATGACGTAATTGCGTTGCCAGTCTGAAGTTTTTTGAATTGTTGCAACGTTAACACAGGTTTATTAACGAATCAGTACATATAACACAATAACGATTTTCACTAATTAAAGCTTTACATAATTTCCAATTTACAATTTTTATCAAGTTGATAGAACCACAGTTTTATCACGCTTCAGCAAAAGATGAGAAATATTTTCGTAAGTCCAGAATGTGATCATAGTGGCTGGAGTGACCCTAAGCAAATTGGTGCTTAGCCCTTTGTAAAACCCCCGCCATCCTTCATATTGCCAGGTTTGTCTAATGCAGTCTAATGTTCCATCGTAATGGTGATGTTGATTCTGTAAACGGGCTCTGACTACTTGATATGGATATGTTGCAAAGGCAGCTACTAGTTTGGAAGTAGCAGAGAATGTTAGGTATTCTATAGTGCCCAACTTTGAGGCTGCCGGTAGGTTGTAATAGTGATAATATACTTTCTTCATTTCCTCATATACCATAAATTGTACCGCACCATGAGATATTCCAAAAATACCTGGAACTAGTCCCTTATAATACCCTTTGATACCCTCAATGGCATATATTTTGGTTAGACAATCCATCATTCCATTATATTGCGTTACACGTCTAGTTTCTGTGCAATACTCCAAGCACAATCTGGTTTTCACAACCCAAAGAGGGTTTGTCAACAGCAATGTTGCGAAGCCCGATTGTGCTGCCGCTAGCAAATGACTGGCGGGCCCCAACACAGTACTGGGATTTCCTTTTTGCATATAATTCTTGGTAGCATTGTAAAACAGGAAATAAAGTCCCCAGGAACTTCCAGCACCCCAAATATTCGGCGTAACTCCTCGATAGAGTCCGCGAAAACCTTCGTTTCTGTAAATTGTACCAAATCCACTTAGGATACTGTTATATTTTGGTGTCGCGTTGCTCCTGCCATCGTGCACTGCGAACCTAATCTTCAACACATCCAACGGGTGCAGTGCAAGGGTTGATGTAATGCCGGCAATAGTTCCGGCTACTAAATGTTCTAATTGAATGTGATCGAGAAGCCTGAGTTGGTCAGATGCCGCCGGTTTCTTGCCTGTTACAGCACTCATTATTAACCTTTAAGAGAATGTAAGGCGTGCGTTTCTTATCGAAGTTCTACTGATAGCATTACGGTTGGTGTTGAAATTAATATCCATGATTTAATTTGAAAATAAATGTTAAGGTTGGGTTGGAACTATTCTTCTTTATGTCATACTGTTTGAACGAAAGTAATGAATGATGTGGGAACATCTTCTGTTGGCCATAAATAGTAAAAAAAAAAACAGTTTTAAAAATGAAATTTAATGATTTGAAAAATTATTCAAATATTATTTTATTCATGTGACATTTAATGTATAATCACCTAATGCGCTTCAAATGGCTTGTAACTGATAATTTATAATTGATTGGTAAAAATATACAAAACGGTTATTTCGTTAAAACGTAGGAAAATACAATTTATTTTCTACGTTCTTTTTATTTGCGAAATTACGATAATAGAAAGATTCATTTTGGCGACGAAACAGTATCATGTTTAGAACACATTATATCGACTGGGAGCGTGGCGTCTCCTGTAATCCAGCTACTTGGAGGTCGGGTTCAGCGGATGGTTTGAGGTTGGGAGTCCTGGTGCAGGTCATCTCGCGTCGACCGGGCGTCCACATTAAGCACGGCGTCAATATGGACGCCCTGGAGGAGTCTGGGGCGGCCAGGTTGGCCAAGGAGGGGCGAACCGGGCCAGAGGGGAAACCCAGCAGCCAAAAGCTCCCGCGTCGTGCAGTAATGGGATCGCGCCTGGGAGCGGGAAACCTGTGCCAGCCCGATCAATATAGCTAGACCTGGACCTTTTTTGTTTGTATCTTTCGTTATCTATGATTTTTTGAAACTCCCGATTTTAATCCCAGCTGCTTAATTAGGCCAGAAAAATTTTCAAATAGAATAATGAAAAACAAATTTCGTTACAACGCCGCTCATAGATGGCGCGCTTGTGGTAAAGCAATACGATAGGCAACCGAAAGCACGCACCCAAAACATTATTTTTCCCGTTTCATAAAAGATGAGCAAATTGCGAGCGCCGAAATTGATTTGGAGGAAAACGAATTGGTACGCGTAGACACGCCACCGACGTCGGAAATTGACATCGGCAGCCTTCTTCGGGAATCGGTACCGCCGCCGTTGCCTCCACAAACGTCCAGCCCGGAATTTTTATCGTTTTTCTTGTCGGTGTGGGAAGAGGATTTTCCCCGGGGATTCGACCAGCATGCCGAACAATTATTGCTCAAGTATCGCGAGAAAAACGATTTGATGCCCGGGGAACAAACCGGCAGCGGCGGGGTAGCCGAAAGCTACGAAAAGAGCTTCCCAGCTCACGGAGATAAAATGTTCCATCAGTTCATATCAAAAATTCGAGAGCATCCGGGACAATTATTGAGGCAGGTTTTGTGAATCGTATATAAATAAGTATCAACTTTACATTTTTTTAGGTATAGTCGCGAAGGCAACCCTCTCCTGCTGTATCCTCTGAAAAATGCAACAGACAATAAATGTCTTTATTGTCAAGAGGAATCAGTGTTTGAGTTTCAGTTGTTGTCTACTATTATTCCCAAGCTGCGTTTAACTTTAGACGACCAAGCATGCGCCAGACTGGATTTTGGAACCGTTCTAGTTTACACGTGCAAAAACAGCTGCTGGAAGGAGGATGCAGTTTTTCAAACGGAAACTGTTATCGTACAACACGAAAAATATTAAATAAAACATTTTTTCCACTTAATCCGACTTCCGTAAATCATTCATCCCGTAATAAAACCGAGTTTTAATTGGTTTGTGTTTTTTTTTATTATTTTCCGACAAAAATAACGATTGGCCACACTTTCCCTTAACCATAGCCCGGTTATATAATTTTGGGTCGAAGCCGTGGGACGAGTTGAATTGGTGAAGTCGAAAAACGATTTTTGAAAGCTCTTATGTAATTTACGTCACGCCAGGCGTTCGACGCAACATCAGTCGAATGTAAATCCAAAAAAAAACTCCCACCGCCATCCAAACCGATTTCAAATTTCGCGCTGTCTCTCAGAATGCGCTATTGTATTAATCCCCATCCTACGTTATCGCCTTTAAACGTAAACAAGACGCGTCCACGTATCGCCAGTATGTTCTAGATTGGGACTTTTCTAGAGGGTCGCGACGTGGACCAATGGCGGGCGGCCACCGTGCAAGCCTCGCACCAATCGAGTGACAAACTCGTCGCATTTCAACCAATCAATATTTACCACGGGTAATATCTATGCTTATAATTTTACAGGCTGGGTCCGTCTTCATGTCAGTTTTGATTGAAAGTCGCGAGAGAAGTTAAGTAAAATTTAGCGTTGTGAACACAAGTTCGCGAATTTCGTGCGATTTTTCGAAAATTTCGTCTCCCTGTAGATCTTTACGTTGTTACACGGGTAAGTATATTGTTGCAAGAAAGTCTCGATAGTTATTAAAAATAAATGCGATCGGTCTTGTTTGTGACTTGCCGGGTTAAGGATTTTCGTCTCGAAAATTGCGTTGGTAGTGCTTTTACAATATCGAATGTAAAGAAATTCCTTATTTTATCGGTAAAAAAAGGGTTCGTTATGGGCTGACGTGTCAGCGTGTACCGAAAACGGTTAGGGGTCCGTTGACCGACGGGATATTTACCGTTATGGCCAAGCGTTCCACGTTTCACGATTACCGTGTTCGTTTACAGAATCGTTAAGGACGCGAGAACAGGACACAAGATGAGGTTATACTTGGCGTTGGGGGCACTGTGCCTCCTTGCTGGGATCACGGCAGACAGTGGAAAGGAACAACCCGATCTCGGGACCGTCATCGGCATCGACTTGGGAACAACTTACTCCTGGTGAGTTGCGTTTCAAGATGGTGCCGACTTTTATAACCTAACTTTTTGTCTGCATCATTTTTTGCCCTATTAAGCACAAATCTAATCGCTTGCGCGATTATCACTGGTCGTAAATAGCGATACCGACGTCGATAGGTTGCGGTTGACGGTGCGGTGACTATTTTTTAATGCGTATTTAATAATGTCAAGTTCTCTACTTATCTCAATACAGTTAGATAAATTTGCCTTAAAAAAGACAACAAATTGTCAAAGTAAATAACGGATTACTATTTGCAAATCTTCTGAATTTCTCCTGCTTCGTCAGCAAGTTCAGTTCATCAACAACCGACGAGGAGGAATCTAGAAGATTGCTAAACAGTAGCCTGTGGAAGTTTCTTTAAAAAAAAAGTAAGGCAATTATTTGCCTTTGAACTGTGTTTTGTTTTGTGTGTTTGAAATGTGTTGACTTTAGGGCAATTAGCCTTTAAAAATTATTGTGAAAAAATTATTACTTATGAGAAATGTATAAAATGTTTAATACTATCAATTTGACTGTAACATAGAAATGAAATTCTCAACATTAATATAAAACTTCTTAAAAATAAACAAAATAAAATTAAATGGAAAATAAATTAAGTAAAACAACAATTATGAAGATGAGAGAGAAAGGAAAGGCACTTTGGAAGTAGCAAATTTACTACGGGGCAAGGCGTTATCGATATTAGGAAAAATCAACAAAGGCAGAATAGGTAGAAAACTTCAGAAACTTGGAAAATATTTCAAATGGAAAAACAAGTCTGAAAGAAATGATAATTAAAAATTTGGCAACTATGGACGAAAAATTGTTGTAAATTCTGTTATCTATATCCCAATGTACTACATTTTACTCAAATCGCAGGATCACCGCTTAAAATTATTGTGCTTATATTTGAGCATTTTGCGTTTTATTTTTTCGTAATAGTTGGTAGTAGAATCTTTTGGTTTATAATTTATAAAATATATTTTTTTTGCGCCACTCAAAGAATTCGAATTTCGTTTAGTCACTTGCCGAGATATGACGGTAAATTGCGGTAAATGTGTCCCGTGTATACGAGGTGTCCCAATGGTGAGGTGACCGTAGATTGGTGATCGAGTTCTAAATTTGAGATATTTCGCCACTTCTGGTTTGCGAATTTTCGAAAAACGTCTCGAAAATTGCAGCGTCGGCGTGTACAAAAACGGACGCGTCGAGATCATCGCCAACGACCAGGGCAACCGTATAACGCCGTCGTACGTCGCGTTCACCGCGGACGGCGAGCGTCTGATCGGCGACGCGGCCAAAAATCAACTGACCACGAATCCGGAGAATACGGTGTTCGACGCGAAGCGTCTGATCGGTCGCGACTGGAACGACGCCGCCGTCCAACACGACATCAAGTTCTTCCCGTTCCGCGTAATCGAGAAGAACGGTAAACCGCACGTCAAAGTCGAAACCGGACAGGGTGAGAAGGTGTTCGCGCCCGAGGAGATCTCCGCTATGGTCCTGGGCAAAATGAAGGAAACCGCGGAGGCTTATCTGGGCAAAAAAGTGACGCACGCGGTGGTCACGGTTCCCGCCTATTTCAACGACGCCCAGCGTCAGGCGACCAAAGACGCGGGCACCATTTCCGGTCTGACGGTGATGAGGATCATTAACGAACCGACGGCGGCCGCGATCGCCTACGGCCTCGACAAGAAAGAGGGCGAGAAGAACGTGCTGGTGTTCGATTTGGGCGGCGGCACCTTCGACGTCTCCCTCTTGACCATCGACAACGGCGTGTTCGAGGTGGTCGCTACCAACGGCGACACCCATCTCGGCGGCGAGGACTTTGACCAGCGCGTCATGGACCATTTCATCAAACTGTACAAGAAGAAGAAGGGCAAAGACATCAGGAAGGACAACAGGGCGGTGCAGAAGCTGAGACGCGAAGTGGAGAAGGCGAAGAGGGCGCTGTCGGCGAGTCACCAGGTGCGCATCGAGATCGAGAGCTTCTTCGAGGGCGACGACTTCTCCGAGACGCTGACGCGCGCCAAGTTCGAGGAACTCAACATGGACCTGTTCCGGTCGACGATGAAACCCGTGCAGAAGGTGAGCGAAGAGTAAAACCCCGGTTCCAACGTTTTAATTATATCAGGGTCGAAACCCTTACGCCGCCCTAACATTTTCGTAACAATTAGGTACTCGAAGACGCCGACATGAACAAAAAGGACGTCGACGAGATCGTATTGGTAGGCGGCTCGACCCGTATCCCAAAGATCCAACAGCTGGTGAAGGAGTTCTTCGGCGGCAAGGAACCGAGCCGGGGCATCAACCCCGACGAGGCCGTCGCGTATGGTGCCGCCGTGCAGGCCGGCGTGCTCAGCGGCGAGCAGGATACAGAGGCGATCGTCCTGCTCGACGTCAACCCGCTGACTTTGGGTATCGAGACGGTGGGCGGGGTCATGACGAAACTCATCCCACGGAACACTGTCATTCCGACCAAGAAGGGCCAGATTTTCAGTACCGCCTCGGATAACCAGCACACGGTCACCATCCAGGTAAGCATCCGTATTTAATTTTAATATTTTCTGAGGTTACGTGAAAAAAATTTCGTGTTCCGTCATGAGTATTAAAATAAAAAATACGCTTAAAACCTATTTTTCTAAACGTGGGATAGAGTGTTGTCAGTGTAAATTACTAAATACAATTATTATAAATTCCTTAAGTTTTCGAAACCGCGGTAAAAATTAGCGTCCTTAACCTTATTTTTGAAATCGAATAGAAAAAAGCGGCGCCTTATTTCTTATAACCTTAAAAATGCCGATGTTGAATTACAATCGTTTAATTTTATAATAATACCCTATGCTTATATAACATTCTTCCAGTTACCAACTGCTAATCGTGAAAATTGGAGAGTGTGTTAAAATTTTAGTAATTGGTTGTGATTTCGCAAATGTTTCACAGATTTTTACGGATTTAGAAAAAAAATGCAGACCACCTTCGTGGTCTGCGTTCCTCAGTTTTTGTTTTATAAATTCAAGAGGTTTTATAAAAGACATTTGTTCCATAACAAATATGAAAGAATTAAACTGAGGTGGCTTTTACTTGACGAAAATCCATTTATCAAAATAAATAAGAACTAAAAGTTCAGATTCTCACGAAGTTATATATTTTTACATGACAATTGTTTGGACAACACCGTGTCTTTATCAAATGTAATATTTACAAATTACCTGCTACTATATGTGTGGATAATTTGGAAAATATCATACTAGAACATCCTTTAAGTGAAAGTTTTCTATGGTGGTATAGATACGTGCTTTGTTGGAACGGACAGACAATTGAATCCTTTTTTGAATTACATTAACTTATTACATAATCATATAAAATTCACTATCGAGATTGAACAGGATAATTCTGTTAATTTTTTAGACTTAAGTATTACGAAAACGCAAAACGAATTAAATTTTTCCTTCACACATGGACACAGTCGTTCATAACAGCTCAAATCATCCTTATACACACAAAATGGCTGCATTTCACTCTTTTATACACAGACTTCGTAATACGCCACTCTCAACAGAAAATTACAACAAAGAACTTAATATCATTAAACAAATAGCACTGAACAACGGCTACAATCCGTCCGTTATAGATAAAATTGTAAATAAAAAACAAATCCAGACAACAGTAAACTCTATTTATTCGAAACCTACTACAGAACACGAACAATTTAAAACAATTACGTACATAGGAGAACCTAGTGAAAAAGTGTCAAAACATTTGTCAAAATGTGGTTTAAAAATAGCTTTCAGAACTAACAACATAATAGGAAAATCCCAAAAATCAGGTGTCTACAGGTTGAAATGCGGATCTTGTCCTAAAATTTATATTGGACAAACAGGTAGATCAGATCAGAAAAACACATTTTTGACGACAATTTTGGTATTTTACATACAGCCACAAAAAGTAGAAAATTAAATTTATTGGAAAATATACCTCTCCTTCATTGAACTTAAATTCTCACAACATTAAGGTTTTATGGTCATTTTGTAAATATTACATTTGATAAAGACAGGGTGTTGTAGAAACAATTGTCATGTGAAAATATATAATTTCGTGAAAATCTGAACTTTTAGTTCTTATTTATTTTAATATGAAAGAAATTGTAACAAAAGTGTGTAATCCTCTAGAATAATTAATTTATTTTTTTAATATTGTTTTTACCTCAACAAGTATATTTAGCAATTGATAATAGAAATTGAGACAAAAAGAAAAGCAATTACAACATTTTGGCGATCCTTTCGCTTTAAAGAAGTATTTCACTTAACAAAAATGTTACGCAGTCGCGTCGAAACGCTCTTTTAAGAAGTCGGGAGAAATAACATCGCATTGGTTTTTACAAAATCTTTGGTTCAGTTCACTGGTTAGGTTAATTAAAAGAGGAATAAAATTCTTTTCCCAGCGCCCGGGGACCGGAACATAGCTAGCGGAAAATGCCTTTAACCATTTTACGTTATTTTTCGCGATTTTTGAAAAAGGTTAAATAATAAAAGAGGATGGTGGGGTATGACGACGCGTCGTGTCTTGCGCAGGTGTACGAGGGCGAACGTCCCATGACCAAAGACAATCACCTGTTGGGCAAGTTCGACCTTACCGGGATCCCGCCGGCGCCGAGGGGCGTGCCCCAGATCGAGGTGACGTTCGAGATCGACGCGAACGGCATCCTGCAGGTGTCCGCGGAGGACAAGGGCACCGGAAATCGCGAGAAGATCGTCATCACCAACGACCAGAACCGCCTCACCCCCGACGACATCGATCGCATGATCAAGGACGCGGAAAAGTTCGCGGACGAGGATAAGAAGCTGAAGGAGCGCGTGGAGGCGAGAAACGAGCTGGAGAGTTACGCGTACTCGTTGAAGAATCAGCTGGGCGACAAGGAAAAGTTGGGCGCGAAGGTGAGCGGCGACGATAAGACCAAGATGGAGGAGGCGATCGACGAGAAGATCAAGTGGCTGGAGGAGAACCAGGACACCGACGCGGACGAGTACAAAAAACAGAAGAAGGAGTTGGAAGATGTGGTGCAGCCAATCATCGCGAAGTTGTACCAGAGTACGGGCGGGGCGCCGCCGCCGACGGGTGGCGACGACGACGACCTCAAGGACGAGCTGTGAGACAGATAGAGAGACCGTCGCGAAAAAGACTGAACAAAGTTTGTTATAAATAGTGCGCGAGAGAGTGCGGGTGTACGGACGCCTGTTTTTTTTTTTACGTGGGATTGCGTGTTTCTCTCTTTTTTTTGTAGTTTATTTATTTATTGTTTGGATACTTGGAGGGTTGAGACCCAGTGATAGGTCGCGTCCTTTGAGTGTAATTTTTCCAATAAAAATAGTTGCTAAGTTGTGTATGTTGCTTTTTTTCTTATTGCTAGCGGATAACAGAAGGTAATGAGGGTGCGGCCATATGAAGTGCCAAAAAGGACAAAATGGGTTAAAAGTTGATCTATTCCAGAAATTTGGACCTCTTGAGATAGTGTGAAAACCAATTGAGGCTGGATTTTTTTTTTAATACTTACGCGAATATAAGTTATTTTTGTTTGAAAATCAGCAAAACTTAACACCACGCTGAACAAATCACTTCTTTATCGCACACAAATGATGAATGAACAGACTCCAACGTTTGAAAGGGATTAAAGCTGGAACGCATTTTATGCGCAAGCAAAGATTTTGTTGTTACTAATGTGTAACAAATCGACAGTCATAAAAAGAATTAAAACTAACTTGATCAGGGCACCGAAACTTAAGCGAACAAAGTGACATTTGGAAAATGACACTTCCCATCGCGCCGTGATACTTTGGTTAGTCTTCCGTTTTTTCAGATAAACCTTTAAAACTGTGGAGCGTTACTAACCGTATTCAAGATTTTAAAATCAAACAAGTTTAGGTATTCGACCTAAAAATACTAAGTATTTACATAATGTGCCGCTTTGAACTCTACTAAACAACGGCCAAATTACGATTGTCGAGACTGGACAACAATCTACCACTGACAGGTCCAAATAACGTTGTATGCCCAGTAATTTGGCCCCCATCCGATAGATGACAGCACTTGTTGGCAGCGCCAATTCCTGAACAACCAACCAATTAACATTGGCACAAAAGCTTCGACGATTTGTTTTTAGACGGCGCTAAAGTCAGTTTTTATAATGCATATTGGACGTTACATATGTAATTTTTATTAGTTTCGTGCTTTTTGATTTGATTTTTAAAATATAAATAGTTGTGAATGCAGTCTAAAGATGAATAGCAATAACCTCAGGTCCTTTGGCATTCGACACATCGAAATGACAATTCCTGGTATGCCGTGTACACACTAGCGGTACATGGAGGACGATGTATGTGATAGTTAATATACGTCTTGAATATTAATTTGTTTTGTACGACCATCACGTGCGTCAAACGTAAAGCCAATATTGGTTACCCAGGTGCACTGAAAGTGTCCTTATGAAACTTTGTCTTTTATATTTCGAGGTGATTGCTCTGTTTCAATTTCCCACAGTTTTCCATGACATTTGAAGGAAAATTTCAGGGCACTTTGCCTTTAAGAACAGCATCTTTAGGACGTGACGATTCAAAAAATTTTCTTGCTGAAAGCGAAACGTATTCATTCCCAATGGTATCGGATCAGCTGACCGGGAGCCCTATAAAATTCCACCAAATCCTGGCACGGGGCCAACTATAGCGTCAAAGGCCAGCGTCAGACACCGTGCTTCTCACGGTCTGGTTGGTGGATTAACGTCACTTTTTCAAGCGCGGACAGGTTAATAATTTCCCAAAACAGTTTTTACGAAATTTACGAAGATTTTTTTTAATCCTCCGTTCACTCAATTAATGGCTATTTCCGGCTATTTGTCGCGATAGTAGTCGCGGCGGGGACCGAAACGGATTTCCTCAGGATTTCGGAGAGGCGCAAGCGCAAACGAGATCCGGTCCGGTAACAGCTCAATACCGCAAAGTGCCTTAAATAAATTTATTCTTCGCAATTCGCCCCCGTTAGGCCGGGCGGCCTTCCGAGGGGGCCCATGAGACGCGCCCGTATTACGGCCTGTACTTTTCCTTTATTGCCCGTTTGTTTAAGGGGTGGCGGGGCGCTATAAGAGGATGTAGGTCGATCGTTAACATAAAATAACCTCCGTTCGAATAATTGTTTTCGGCGGTTTGATCTGAACGATTTTTTTGTTTAAAGCAATTCGTTGATAACAAACATCTTAAGATCGCTAGCTAAGGTTTGACAAGGAGCCTTGAAGCACAGTCTTTTAAACCAAAGGCTAATACTTCTGTTATTAAATAAACAGCCCCAGACCGCCTACTAGGCTACAGAACCTGTGATTAAAATATCAATTATGACGTGTGTACGGGTAATCGTAATCACGTGCCAATTAGAATGTGGTACAATGTCTTGGATATGCACAAATTGCCGATTCCGCCAAACAAATGAATACGTACCCCAAAAAGGCAACTAATAACCTCAATCGATAGTTCATTTCCTGCCCGGGTTTGCCTTTCGGCGACCGAATCTTATTTCGACTCGTTTCATTGAAGGAGAAAATCGGTATCCGCCACATTGTTTAACGTCTAGAATGGTGTATTAATTACGCCAAGTAGCGGAGAGAGGGGGCTCGTTAAAGCGTTCCTTTGGCTTGTATTTAGCTTAACGCCATAGTTTGATTAACTTTAGCGTTAATTGGTTTAATTTTAAAAGTTTACTGATTCGGCAACGCTGCAATTAGAGCTGCAAAGGTTGTTAGCGATTATAGAGAGCGAAAAACGTAGGTTCAATGAAGTTTAGCCAATTAACAAAAAAAAAAGTGTAGCAAAAAAGTGAATCAATCTACTATATCTAAATCGATTCTTCTGGGACGTCAAGTTAAATATTTCAATTCTAATTTTTGCAAGCAGATTATGCACACTAAACATCGTCCAATTCTTCTTCTTTAAAACTTATATAGCCATGAACTTTAATTTTAATGACTATGTTCTGAGCTTTCATTGCGATATGACGTGGTGAAAATTTAGCTCGAGATATTGGAAAATTTCCCAAAATCTGCAGCATTTTTCGTTATCGGTTGGCAAGTCTGCGCGGGGCAACTAACCCGATTTGAAACCAAACGTTTTCATTAACACCGTGCTCTAGTAATTTTTGCCGATAAACGCCTTTGTTCCACATTTTTTAATGGCCGTTCGGAACGTTTTCAAACCCGCTACCCGGTCTCGCGGAAGTGCCGCCTGTGAAAAGTGAGGTTAGGACGCTCGTAACCCACTAAACGGAGTAAAATCGTTGTTTGCATCTGAAAGAATCATCCGATTAGTAATTTAAAACGCCACGCTCAATTCTCTGATAAAAGCGAAAATCAGTACATACAAGTACTTCTCGTTTAGTATCAGGAAAGATATACTGGATGCTTAGTTTGCCACCTTCAGGAGGGAACGTCGAACAAAGGACATAGTTCGATCCTTTTTTTGCCTCACCCTTCTCTCATCACAAAAAAACCCGCAGGTAATCGAATAACCAAACGCGTAGTACTCGTGCTTGTGGGGTGAGGGGGGTCTCGCGCTAATTTAACACTTTAATTAACACAGTAACGTTGATTAAGGACATCCTGGCGGCGTCCCTGGCGACGTGTAACTTGCATGCCGTCGCAGAGCGGGTTAAATGTCTTCGCGCAATGAATTATTGGGGTGAGAATTTGAAGGGGTCGGGGCTGCTTGAATTTCCCCGCCGTCTTATGGTAAATAAATAAACAGATAAACTATTAAGCTGGATGTACAATTCGTTAATATTTAAACAGTTTTCGGACGGACCAGGGACAAGCAAAAAAAGTATATGATGCATTAACACTGTATTCGTGGGTGTTTAATACATGAATGAAATGTTGCATGATATACCTTTTATACAATCGACACGAATACGTTTACAGAATGATGCACTAGCAAAAAATATTATAATATGCAATAAGTTTTAGATATGAGCAAAGCGAGTGTTTAATAAATGAATTTCTGAACAAGTTGATAAACGTGTTGAATATTATACTTTTTATTCAATGGGCATTTACTGAATGAATGTAGAACACACGTTTTGCGCATATTAGAGTGTGCAAAATAGTATATTATGAAACAAATTTTATAAAAGACGCGTTGTTTGCAAGATTGTTTGGATACGAATGGGGTGAGTGTTAATGGGGGTTAATTTATGTTATGTTATGCTTTCCATACAATCTGCACGAATATATTTGTTGAGTGACGTGATGACTGCTTTGGGTATTTTAAATAGTATATTATGCAACAAGTTTTATGTACTACTCTTTGGTTGGGAGTTTATTTAGACACGAGCGGAACGTGTATAATCAACGATCCTCTGAACAAGTTTAAGCGTACTATAATTGCTATACAACCGTTATGAATGCAGACCATATGCTTTGGGTATATCAGAATAGGGAGTGAAAAATAGTATATTATACAACAAGTTTTAATAACGACGCTTTGGCTGAAAGTTTGTTTATACACAACCGGGCGATTGTTCAATTAATGACGGTCTGAACGAGTTGCATTTTATAATTTCTATACAATCGTGATGAACACGTAGGTAGTGGAAAATAGTATATTACGCAAAAAAAATGTAAAGGACACTTTAGTAATAAGTTTGTTTAATCAAGGGAGGGGCGATTCATTTTTGAACCTCTTGCAGAGAATCGAAGCTCCGTTTAACACGCAACCATTCGCATGGGTCGACGAAGGTACGTACGCATCATCGAATGTCGCCTTCGACGGTTTTTTCACGATCAAATTTCCACCATTACGCGCACCTAGAAACAGCGCGGCGGCGGCCTACATCCTCCCTCCGCACTGTTGCCATTTACAGCGGCAGCCTTCGCCGTAACAACCTTACCCTGGAAGCTCCACGGATTTCCACGACACGTTTTCGTAAAATCGTTTGCACCTGGGATGACCGAAACAAACAGCGGGTCTGTATAAATTCGGTCACCGAGTATAATATTGTCGACTGAAGACCACGCGCTTGGAATATTTATAATTCTTCTTTTTACAGTTCGTTTTATTAATAGCGCCTCGTTCATTTGGTTAAATTGTTTCATTATGTGACTCACATCCGTACTCACATGTACCTATGGCGGCATCGGCGTGGATAAAAGTGTTCTTGTGGGCACAATTCCGAAACGACCGTCTTATCCGTTTTTCTTGCAAATTCAATATACCCATTTTTTTTTTATTTTCGAAACAAAATTGGAAGAAATACTGTCGAAATTTCGCAATTTAGCAACTTTAGCAAGTACAAATAGACGCGATATGCGAAAACGGTTACTTTGCTTTTTTAGACGGCCTATTTTGTTATTAACATTATGGCTTAATTTGAGAATTTTCGGAGAAATTCTTTAATTTTTGGATTGCGGTGACACCCGGCAAAAAGTGCTTTCTTGAAGCTGATTTAGCATTGTCCTCAAACTAGAATAATCGGCCTATAATCTTGAGCGGCATATGGATATCACATTTTACCAACGTATCTAAAAAAGTCCCATCTCTTCTCGTTATAAAAATGGACCGTTTAAGTCTACTAGTTAGTTATTTGTTGGAAGCGATGGTTTCAAAATTATTGGTAATCTACAAACTAGTTTTTTTACCATTTTTCTATTATAATCGTCGATAAACATTTTTTTCTCTATTTTCACTAACGATTTTTTCTATTGTATTTTTTTCCATATTATTTCCCTGCTTTTTCGTGATCTTTTATGATATCACAATTGAATTTTCCACTGCACTTTTTTTGTAACTGAATGTGATACTGGCTCCGGGTTTCTTCGCCGTTTTTTTTAGAATATATTTGATGCTTTTCTGTTTCTACTGTACTTTTTACATTATCATGTATATTCCTTGTGATTTTCTTTTTTTTTGTTATTATCACAATAACATATATTTTTACGGCATTGTTTATAATTTGATGTATACGTTTTGCATTTAACGTGGTTTTTCTTCGTTCTTGTCTCTATTCAATGTTTTTGTAGATTTATGATTTTCGTATATATTAATAATACACTTAAGAACTGTACACCCTTGTAAAATATTTATTTGTGATTCGATTTTTATAATTTTCTTTTTGTTGGATACATCTCTGGAAAATGCACTAAAACCTCGTTTTGTTTATAGCTTTCAATTAAAGTCATGCCCAACTGAGACTATTTAACCAAAGAGAGAGAAGAGAGAGAGAAGTACTATTAGGGATTACAAAAAAAATAAATTCGCAAAGAATTATTGTTCAGGAGTACTTAGAAACCAACTATAAAAGTTTTGATAATGTTTCAATTCATATCATACATATCGTTTGCGCCCCGCTTAATATACGACGGGGTAACCATAAAAAACCGGAATTGAATTGCCGCGCGCAGAGCTTGTATAGTACACCTTTCTGCCGCTAGGTTGTGGACAGTACAACTTATTGCTTCAACGCCACCTTCGTTTTAAATTTAACTTGTTTTTTTGTTATTTCGTTTTTTTCGATGGCAAGTTTAAAAGAACGACGTACAGCTGTGAAATTTTGTTTTCTGCTCGGTAAAAGTGCTGCTGAAACTGTTTCAATGTTAAAAACAGCTTATAAAGACGATGCGATGGGAAAAACTCAAGTGTACCAGTGGTTTGTTCGCTTCAAAAATGGCGATGAGTCAATTGATGACCGACCTCGTTCTGGACGTCCATCAACTGCTCGAAAATATTGAAAAGATTCGAGAGTTTGTGCTCACAGACCGTCGACAGACAATTGAACAATTATCAAAGATTAGTGGGTTGTCTTGGAGCAGGGTTGAGCGAATTTTAACCGAAGATTTGGAAATCAAAAGAGTTGCTGCCAAGTTTGTTCCTCCTGTTCTGACTGACATGCAAAAAGAACATCGAATTGAAACATGTCGTGCTTTGAATCAAAAGCTTGAAACGGATCCAGACTTCCTTTCAAAGATCATTACTGGTGACGAGTCATGATGCTATGATTACGATCCAGAAACGAAGCAACAGTCCAGCCAATGAAAGACGTCACTGTCTCCCCGTCCAAAAAATATCGTCAGGTCAAATCAAACATCAAAACGATGCTGATTTGCTTTTTCGACATCAACGGCGTAGTTCATGCAGAGTTCATTCCACCAGGTGAGACCGTTAATCAAGCTTTTTATCTGGAAGGAAGAAGAAGATTGCGCAACAGTATTCGTCAAAAAAGACCTGATTTGTGGCGGACAGGGGACTGGTTCATTCACCACGATAATGCACCTGCACACACAGCCATTTCTGTTAAGCAGTTTTTGGCTAAAAATGGCATGGTTCCTCTGCCCCATGCACCTTACTCGCCTGGTCTCGCTCCGTGTGACTTCTTCTTATTTCCACGTATGAAAAGGGACATGAAAGGACAGCGATTTGACAACACTGAAGAGGTCAAGAAAAAAACGAGGGATGAGCTGTCGGCTATAGCCAAAGATGAATATAAAAAATGTTTCGAACAATGGAAGCACCGCTGGGACAAATGTATTAGTTGCAATGGAGAGTATTTTGAAGGGGATAAGGTCGTTCTGTGATTTTCAAAACAATATATATATATATATATATATATATATATATATATATATATATATATATATATATATATATATATATATTAAAAATGATTCCGGTTTTTTTTGGGTACCCCCTCGTACATCGTTGCAAAATTTTTGATTACGGTTTGATTTTGATATTTTCTTTTGTTGGATAGATCTGTCAAAATGAAATGAATTTTGAAAACGGGGGTTACTTAGAATGTTTGTTTTTGACTCAATGGCTCAAGGGAAATGAAACAGTTTTTTCGCATAGCATCTGGTAATGTCATGGCTGACTCAATTTTTTGAAGCGGAAGGTCGAGAAGTATTCTACGGGATTTTTTCGAATTCACAAATGAAAACAGAACTACCTAAAAGTAACTAGACCCACGACCAAAAAAGAAACATTGTAAATCTTGTAAATAACGATTATTTTGTATGTGATTTTACGATCTTACAAATTTTAATTATTCAAATTTCAAAAATAATGATAAAAAATATTTTTTTTTTAGTATCGTCTTAAAACAGTGGCATTAATAAATCTTAGTATTCGAAAGATGTAAACAAAATTGAAATATAAATTAGCGAGTGAATTTGCTGTCGAATATTCGCTTCTCCATGGCAAACTTGGTTTTAGAAAGGAAACAGTATGCTGACGTCAATCAATTCTGATATTTCTGTTAATTTCATTATAAGATCAGAATGAAAAATATTTTTTAATTAAAAAAAAAAGCGTTGTAAAGTCTGTTTAATTATATTTAATTTTAAGAAAATCGTGTCAAAATTGAGCCATAAACAAACGTTCTACAGGAATAATGCTTAAGCAAACTTCAAGGAAATTAGTATAGTTAGGTTTTTTGTAGTCCTGAACTCGTGGACACTTTACTCTTAAAGAAATCTCTAATAGCCCTTCTCGATTTTTGACATCAAAAATTAGTAACAACTGTCCCAGTAAGAAATATAAGTTTTGCGAGATATATCCATCAAAAAAATTTTTTTTTATCAAAATCAAACTGCAAAGATTTTACAACGACCTGGAACCTTAATATTTATAATATTTCAAACATCGTGTATTAAAACTTATAAAAATTGGTATAGTTTGGTAGTAAGTACTCCTGAATAAGGATTCGTTGCCGATGTATTTTTGTTAAATAGTCTCTGTTGGCCACGACTTTAAGCTCAAGCAATAAGCAAAACAAGGTTTTAGTGCATTTTTCAAAGATGTATCCAACAAAAAAATTTATCAAAATTGATCCATATCCGTTATTATATACGGAAATAATAAGATAAAGATAAAAGCGGAATACGTTAAAATTTGGCGAAATAAAATAGTCAGAAACATAATCTACAAAAACATTGAACAGAGACAAGAATGAATAAAAACCAGTGAACAATAACGCATTAAATACAAAGAAAGAAATTACAAAGAATATATACGAAAATGTAAGAGTTACAGTAGAAACAGAAAAACAGATAAAAGCAGCGAGGAAACCCGGATCCAGTATCAGGTTCGGTTACAAAAAAAGTGCACAGTAGAAAAATTCGATCGTTATAATAGAAATGTAGGTAGAAAATATTTGAAAAAATATCATAAGACATGGCTGAGAAGCAGGGAAATAATTTGCAAATGTAGAAAACGCAATAGAAAAAATCGATAGTGGGAATAGACAACAAAAAATATTTGAAAAGTGTTTATCAGCGATTATAATATAAAAATGGTAAAGCAGCGCGGCAACGTCGCGGCGGTCCCTCAACCGGCGGCGTCTACCGCCCGTCAGCTGAGCGCCGAACGCACCCCCACGGGCGAAAGGGTGGGGGGCGCCGCCTCCGACGCCGGCCGGAGACGTCGGAGCGGTGGTGGGGGCAAGCGACGCCCCCATCCGCATAGCGCAAACTTGCTCGGACTCATTCGCGACTAGTCTACCGGGTCGGGACGATCCAGTCCGTTGGGCGAAGAAAAAAAAAACAAAAAAAAAATCAGCAAATTGTGTGCGTGACCCCACCGTAGCAGGGGGCAGAGCGCGGGGGTCACTCGTTTCGAGCGGCTTTCAAATCGCGTGTCACGATAAGGCTGTGAACGACGTACAGGGTATATTAATGGAGACGGTAAACGGGGGTGGTCTGGGGGACGACAAGGGGGGACCGCCGCCGCCGAGTCCGCTGACTGGGTGCTACTTGCTTATCGTGATCGGTGAACCCCATTCGGACGAACACAGGGACATCATACTCCAGAAAGTGGCGAAAGGTGAGAATATTTTTTTTTATGTACAAATATCGATATCGATTTTTTTTTTACTCGCGAAGACGGAGTCGGAATTAGCTTCACGCTGCCGGCTTAGTCCGTCCCCCCACCCCTCGGGTCCCACCTTGCGTGTAAAATCGATACCCCAGATTGCGCAAATTTTTTTCGGTCGCTTTTCACTAGAAAATAAACGTGCCATAAGCCGTTTTCCCTCAGGAGGTCCGTTCCAGTGTTCCCACTCCTCTCACTTCCAAATTAAGAAAAAAAAAACTACGACGATGCGATTCGGGCCATCTCGGCGGCCGTACCCTTTCTCTTTGAATAGAGATACGGTCTGGGAATGTTTCTTGCAACTGCAAACTACTCCTGTGCCCGGTATACAGAACTATAAGAGAGTAACAAAATCTGCAGTTGAAAAATGGCGGTCCACGCCTCTCCGCAAACTAAAATTCGTCCGTTTCCGAGCATTTCCCGCTCCCTTATGATCCTTAAGTCGCCATACTTATTACGCGGCGGTAATTCCGCGAGAGCGGCGACCTGGTGATCTAAAAAAAATTACGCGAGAACGTTATTAACTATCAAACGGTAATTTATTTTGCTACTCGCTCATGTATTCATAATTGTTCCGAGTTAATAGCCTAAAAAGTTATTTATTTTTACTGCGGGGCTCAAATTTAAATAACGTACTCACAGGGTGTTCGTTAAATCCGGCACCATTTGTCCAAAACTCTAATGAATTTAATGAGAAAATTTATAACATGCATACATTCGTATTAAATCAAGTGACCTACCAGAAAAAATGAACGTCGAAATATTTTAAATATATTTTCTTCTTAATTAGTTAAAAAATATTTATGTCGAGGTTCTTTGTTTTCTTGCGCATGCCCTTCCCTATAGCGCCGCCATTTTGAATGCAAATGTCAACCCGTGACATGTCGTGCAAAAGTCAAACTTTATGTCACTTCCGTTCAGACCACACCGACCACTTTCGGTCAAACAGAAAGTGACATTTAATTATTTAATTTATTTCTTCACGTAAAAGGCATCATGTTCAATCAAATTATAAATGCTGATAAGTATCAAAGATGTGGTATTTTTATTTATACATTTATTAATACTTAGATATGAAGGTACATAAAATATATTTTGTAATATTGTTCTTAAGAGTCTAATTAAAAAAAATCTTTTATTTTACTTTGTTTAATTTTTGTGAAATGAACATCATAAATGTGTAATTCTACTTTGACTAATTGAATAAGAACAATTGAATTTCAATTCCTGATTTAGTTGGAACTGTTTTGTACTCACAGTTTCATCTTTCGACGTCTGATCGTCATCAATCTAAACTGTTATCATCTTTGTTTGAATTAAGAGTTCGATTTTGAAATTTTCACGCCCACCATCAATGAAATCTACCATTTTCGAAAAAAAAAGTCGACGATAATGGCACCTTGATCCATAGGCAGTAGTTTGGAACTGGGCAGTTGTCCACTAATAATATTTACAGGCAACTGTACGACATTTCCAGGGTTTTTGGGTTGTAGAAACACCAACAACCTTCTTTCTGCTCTGTTCCTGTTAAATTTGACACAACCAGCACAGTGATTCTTTCTTTGAAAAGTTTGCCACCTACACATTTCTCGCCGTTGAATCTGAACGTTCTAGTCCAAAGTCTTTTCTAATTATTCTTCCGCTTGTTCTTCAGCAAATCGTTTACAACGTGCATATCATCATTCTCCAACAATTTTGCCTTGCCTTTTTTAAAATCTTCGAATCCAGCTTCTATTAAACGTAGGTTCTTTTTCTTATATTAGTTTATTTCCAAGCCTTAGACTGCAATATACCTCAGCTAATAGTCAGATTTTTATTTCTTTGCTAATAAAACCATTTCAAAAGCTCCTGATCAACGTTAAAATTCGTGATTTTTTTTAGATGTACGTTTATACCTTTTTTTTAAGGAGGTTTTCTTTGAAATTGTGCCACTCTTGGTTGTACGTACAGGGTGGTGCCCGTTTAAGAGGGCATTAAAAAAGATACTAAAGATTCTATTAGAATGTCTTTAATTTTTTTTTTCCAAATGCTGCCAAATCTACAGCGGCAAGGCGAAGAGTATTCTCAAAATGCAGAAGCATATCTAGCTGCATATTTTCATACAAAACCGTTCGGTTCCTCTTTTTTTTCACTAAAACGCTGCCATTTGTTCGAAACTGCTTGTATATTTTAGCAAATATTTTCGACGAAATAGGTCAACTTTTTCCTCCTTCGTATAAATAAATTGAAAATAATGGAAGTCCGAAAATAAAAATTATAACACACTGATACCTGTCAAAAAACCAGTCACATTGCCACAACAGAGAACTACTATTGTTTTCAAAGCTACTGCGATGATTGTGTCAAAAAGGTGAAAATTAATAATATCATTTATTTTATGTTTCTGTCGTTTATATATATTTTGGTCTATATTATTAAGAATAAGAATTTTTTTTAAATGTTTATTTTTCATTTAAAGACCTTATTTATAAGATTCTTAAATTATGAATGTAAAAGAATTTATGTATTATTGGAAAATAATTATTAATTAATCCAAAACGGTAATTAAAGTGGCTATTCCAAATTCCAATAATATACGGGCAACCCAACAATGATGGTTTAAACCCGAATTCTGAAGATGATCGCCAGTAGGTTCGAAACGGTCATCACAGACCTGTACTCGTCTGTATCGTTGAATTTGTCTTTGAAGGGACTATTCAAAAATGCAATAAAATGTACGGTGTTCTATTTTAAAAAAATGTAAGTTTTTGTTTTACCACCCTGTATATAAAAAAGTGACGATTAGGAAAAAAAAACGAAGGTCATTTTAATAGAAACAACTTTTGAATTATTTTTTTTTTGTAACCCCGTAGGTTTCGAGATAAGGTTTAGGCCGACACATTAAAGAGCCCAGACTAACGATTACTGTTACTGGAAGAAAAGAAAAATCTTACGATCATATCAAAATTTAAGGTTCGTTTCTGAAGTTAGTACGCATAGATTTGGTTCGTTATGAACAAAAGTTCGCATAAAGCTGGTAAAGTCTGTTCATAGATATAAGAAAGTGACTAACTGATACGAATTAAGGAAAGTTCTTCGTATAACTGGTAAATTTTACACCGTATTATATCTTGATCACTTTCATCCACACTCGAGAAAATGTCAGCATCGCATCCTTTTTTTCCTCGCTGAAATGGGATTATTCACAATTTTCCGTAGAGTGGATGTTGGAATTTTCGGCAATGTGGCCGTTTCTTCTAAAGATGCTTGCTTGCTGGTACCACGTTCAATGAGGGTCAAATAAACATTGTTTATAACTTCCTTAGTCTCAATACAATAGTGTTTTCTACATTTGGGCGGGAGCATCTCGTGAGATACACTAGACTCGCAAATATTTTGCATAATTCGCACACGATTCAACACGCGCTGTATTACACACGAAATAAGTAGTATACCAAACCAAGTAATATTAAACACTGGTAGGTATAAAATTATTTTCTATTCCAGACCACAATTTTATCAGAATTTAAATTCCGAAGCTTTAGGTAATAATCTTGTTGCATTGTATGCTAATGACCACCCTTGCAATTGATCACTTTCTTATATCTATGAACAGACCATACCTTATACTGTATATCTTTTGACGTATAGAAGTTAGGCCTTGGCCGGCACTATTTTCGGCACCCGGTATAGTACGTCTAAAATGGACACTCCCTGTGTAATCGTCACACCCAAACGCGGCAAAATAGGAAATCTGCCGTTCGGTTTTCGCGACTCAAAAAACAAATCCCAGTTTAAACAAATTTCTATTTTAAGAATTCACATGATAAAATGTTTATGTAGTAGCGAATTTTTATCCGAGAGCCGCGAGTATTTTAGCGCGACATTGGCACGCTGGTTTACTGCCCCCCCCCCCCCCCCCCCCCACCCCCCAATTATACCGATCAACAGCGAGCTCCGCATTTCATCGTAGAGGTCAAGAATTTACTTAAATGAGGAGGCATTAGTGGCAAGACGAGTGAGAATTAAACTGCCAAATTGCAGCTTTAAAGACGTGCTACAGATTGTCAAAAATATACCTCGACAAACTCAGTAGCTACCAAAGGCGTTCGTCGCCTTTTATATCAATATTTTTTAAATTAATTTTTCTTTCCCACTCCTTAATTGTTGTCCTTTCGTACGTTTTCCTTTAAGTCGTCCTAGAATCCAATTAGCCGTGCGTGGCAACTAAGCGTTCCAGAAACAAAGGAATATAATAACACATCGCCCTTCGTTCGATCGACAATTCGTGGAAGCTCAAAAAAAGGGCCATATCAATATCCGATGCCTTACCAATGCCGCCGGTTTAGTCGAAATCGATAAGCCAAACAAATTATTAATCGGGTAATATTAGTCTGGTAATTTTAGTCGCCCCTGTCTGCTTTTTCTGTTAAAGTCTGTTCATAGATATAAGAAAGCCACTAACTGATACGAATTAAGAAAAGACAGGGGTGAGAATGAAATATGGCCGAACAGGTCCGTACTTTGCTTAGAATTTAATTATTTGGGGTTTTGTTAGGAAAGATACTAAACCATATTTATTTATTTATGTTTGAATCTAAAATAAAATTACAAATTATTTTTATTACCTACTTGAATTACTTAAAATTATATAATATTATTATTTGTTCTATATTATTTGCAATTGCTTTTTCTATGTCTAGAATTTTGTATAGAATTCAAAAATGGAGTAATATACCAGGTGTTCCATTTAAATTATAAATTTAATTGTAAATTAAAGGCTGGTGATGCGCCCATTAACTGTTGGATTTAACTTTTGGCCTCACTCCTTATAGTTTCTGAGATAAGGTAGTGGTCCCAAGCTAAACGGCCCGCTCTATACATTAAAATCGCCATTTAAAACAATTTTTTGGTTGGTCCCAGGGCCAAATGAGATCTAAGCTTGATATAAAACTGTCAAAATACATCTGAAC